CCCTGCTATTACACCTAGAAAGGCCGCAGAGGATGGTCCTAGTTGGGCCCCTGCCACTCACATGGGAGACCTGGATGTAATTCCAGGCTCCTGTATTCTGTCTGGCCTAGCCGTGGCCATTGTGGCCATTTTAGGAGGAAACCAGTTCAATGAATCTATCATTCTGCTTTTTTTTTTTTTTAATTAGTTTATTTAAAAGGTAGAGTTACATAGAGCAAGAGAGACATACAGCGATATCCTCCATCTGCTGGTTCACTCCTGAAATGGTTGCAACCGCCAGAGCTGGGACAGTCTGAATCCAGGAGCCTCCTCCCACTCTCCCAGGTATTCGGGCCATCCTCCAGTGTTGTTCCAAGTACACCAGGAAGGAGCTGGATGGGAAGTGGACCCTTCAGGACTGGATCAGTGCCCATGTGGGATGCCAGCGTCACAGGCATTGGTTTTAAGTTCTGTACCATGACACCAGCCCCAGTGAATCAATTTTTTTTTTAATATAACAGTTTAAAATAAGAAAACCAGGTGTGTGACCTATGGCAAGGAAAGAAACAACCTCCTGTGTCAGACAGCACCCTCCAGGGGCCATAGCAAGAAGCTGAAGTCTTCAGACTCCAAGAAGCAAACACAAGGCCAAGTCTCACTGTAAGGCTCTAACACCCATGGTCCTGCGAGTGTAACACTGCAGATGGCAAAGACTCTGGGACAGTGATCTAGGAACTGCAGCCCTTCCAGAAGGGCAGATAACTGCCTGGAGACTCCGCCGTGTAGAGCGGTGCCGTGCAAAGACCTCGGAATGTTCACAATTGTTGTGCAGACAGCAGCTGCTGGGGCAGTTACTTAGCTTCTGGAGGTTAAGGGGCCTGCTTTCCCATAGCGGGGTGCCTGGGTTGGATACCTAGCTCTATGTCCTGACTCCAGCTTCCTGCTCATGCTGACCCGGGGAGGTGGAGGGTGGTGGCTCAAGTACCTGGGCCCCTGCCTCCCACGTGGGAGACCTGGACTGAGTTTTCAGCTGCCTGCTTTGTCCTGGCACAGCCCTGGCCATGGTAGGCATTTGGGGAGTGAACCAGCAGGTGGGAACTCAACCTGTCTGTCTCTCAAATACATAAATAAAAAATAAAAAGAGGAATTCAGGCTGGAGTTGTGGTGCAGTGGGTTAAGCTACAGCCTGTAATGCCAGTATCCCGAGACTTGTTCAAACCCTGGCTGCTCCACTTCTGATCTAGCACCCTGCTGATGTGCCTGGGAAAGCATCAGAAGATGGCCCAAGTATCTGGACCCTGCCTCCCACATAGGAAACGGATGGAGTTCCACGCTCCTGGCTTGGACCTGACCCAGCCTAGTCGTTTTGGCCATGTGGGGCAGGAACTAGCAGATGGAAGATCTCTCTATCCTGACTATCTATATCTCTCACACTTTCTGTAACTCTGCCTTTCATATAGTTAATCTTAAAAAGAAAACCCTCAAAGAAAATGAATGACAGAGGCTGGCACTGTGGCGTAGCAGGTAAAGCCTCCGCCTGTGGTGCCAGCATCCCGTATGGGCGCCGGTTTGAGTCCCAGCTGCAGCACTTCCGATCCAGCTCTCTGCTATGGCCTGGGAAAGCAGTGGAAGATGGCTCAAGTGCTTGGGCCCCTGCACCCTTCTCCTTCTGGGAGACCCAGAAGAAGCTCCTGATTCCTGATCGGCACAGTTCCGGCCGTTGTAGTCAACTGGGGAGTGAACTAGCAGATAGAAGATCTCTCTCTCTCTCTCTCTCTCTCTCTCTCTCTGCCACTCCTTCTCTCTATGTATAACTCTGAATTTCAAATAAATAAATAAATCTTTAAAAAAAAAAGAAAATGACAAAGTAGCAGCTACTACCCACATTACTATAAGTACTGGAAATATTTA